GTCAGTTCCTTTTTTCTTGACCTTTCTCCTTCATGATCACACCTGTCGAGAAGCCAACCGACGAGCTTAGTTCGCCTGCCGGAGAAATCAAAAAAGGGGGCCAGACGGGGCAGAGGAGCGACGCCCTGGGTGGCAAGGTTAGTGACAAAGACGCGCGCTCTTGTGAGCGCCAGGATGCGTTGGCCTGGATCTGCGTGCCGGGCGGCAGCACGCCCTTGGCAAGGCGCGTGATGATGGAGCGCGGCAGGGTGAGGTCCTCAATGGTGACAGCGTCGCGGTCCTTGTCCTTGGCCGACGCCTTCTCGGGCTTGCTGCTGCCTTCTTCGTGCCGGGGCCCGCCGGCGCCGCCGCTGGGGCCCGCGTTGGCGGTCGTCATGGACGTGTCGGGGCGGCCTTCTGCTGGTTGTGCGGGCTGATGGCTGGTGGCGGCCGAGGTCGAGGCTGGGGCGGCGCCGGGTGTGTCTTCGTCCATGGGGACGAAGCGGGCGGCTGAGACAGAAGGGTTGGCGGGTGAGGGCTTTTTGGGCGGCATTGTGGTGAGAGCAAGGTGTGTGTGTTTGAGAGGGCGAGTGTGCGTGAGGTTGAGTTTTCGGCGAGGAGGCCGAAGGTGGGTGGCGAGAGTCTGGCCCTTGTAATCTCTATGGTATTCCTTGTCCCAGATATGATTCCAATGTAGTCTCTACTGGCTCATCGCGATGAGGCTGGCAGGCTGACAACCAAGTGACGAGCCGCAATCGGGAAGTTGGTCGAGTGAGGTACGGGGGGTTCTGTTCTAGGTGAGGTTGAGGTGAGAGCGGTGCAGGTGTAGGTGCACGCGCCCACGCCACACCCTGAGACGCGACTTTTGCGTGTGGCGCGTAAAGTGGTGGCTTCCACCCTTCCGTCCCGCTGGCCCGTGCCTCCTCACAGGAGGAGGTGCCAGAGGTACCTACCTACCTTACCTTACGTAGGTAGGTTGACAGGTACGTCCGTACGTAAGGCAGGTAGGTCCATCATACATCCTGCGTGTCACCATTCACCATCAGAACAGGACGAATGACCTAGTCGTCACCATCGGAAGCAGTTCAAACCCGCGCGTTCGTCAGCGTCGTTCAGATACCTTACACTAGGTACCTACGCAATTGCACCCCCTGCCTAACACGCTCCCATGACACTTGCCACTGCCACTGCCCCCCAACGAGGTACACATGGAACATCGTGGGCCTGCCTCTGTGATCCGATCTTTTTGTTTCAGACTGGCCACACCGGATGCCGTGCCTAAAAATCCCAGATCGTGAGATGCGTCGCGATCCCGTCTAAACGGACGCCGCACGAGATAGATTGCCGAAGAGTTTCGTATCGTCTTCGTGCCCAAGTCATCCGATCCTCCACGTCAGTCAACAAACGCATGACAGCCCCGCGAGGCAGACCGCGCTGTCAGAATCATTTCTCAGGTGTGTAATGGTACGTATAGTATGTCAAATTCAGCCTCCACGGCTCTACCTAGGAGGAACACTACCGACCGGCCTCGCGTGCCCGAGTGTGCTTCGCTGCGTCATGCTACAGAGCCGAGCAAAGCAGTTGCTCCGTGTCCGCTTCGCTTGCAAATATTCAAAGGGAAATGAAATGAGTGAGTGATAGAAAAAGAAAAAGCTAAGTCCATGAAGAGAGTGGGGAAGGACTGGCTAAACGAAAGAAAAGGGCTGCAGTCGGCAGCGTGTCATGAGTATCATAAATAAAAATGGGGTATCACCAGCACAAACATCCTCCCAAACATACAGAACCACGAGCCAATGCCCTCAGTTTTGGAACTTCAGTGTTCCTCCGAGGACCCTCTGCTCTCGATCCATCCACGCCATCCATGTAGTCCCACGCGGTCCAAATGGCAGCCGGCCTTCGCAGGCTTGTGTGGCCATGTGGCCGGCTGACGAATGTAACGAGGGCAAACACGACCAACGTGCCATATATCCTGGGCACGTCCTCGCAAGAGGTCACACAAAACCCCGCACGACGAAACCTTCGGCAGGCCTCGTGCAGCGCGTGCGTCTTGTTTCTTTCCTCGTCTTGCGGGAGGGGCGCAGGGATGGCCCGCATCTGAAACGCGTCAAAAACGCACGTCGTTCCCTGTCAATCGACACGACACCACCCCGACTCACATCTTCCCGGCGGGGAAAGGACATGGGTGATGCCGGTAGGTTCTGCCGCTGTGCTCACGCGACGCGGCATCGTGTTCGGTCTCAACACCCCGCGGCGCACAGAAAAACGCCTGTCTTGCTGTCCCGCCCATCAGCCAATAGCCCGGCCAATCGCGGACTGTGGGACGGCAGGCCGCGGTGAGAGTCCGCCCAGCGGAACCTCGTCATCAAGGCATGTGCTGGGCGGAACTGATGATGTAGAGAAGACACGATGGTGGTTTCGCTGCTCGGAGAAGGAGGCTGAAGAACCATGGAAACCGTGCTGGGTGAAACCGCCGAGCTGCTCATTTGATGAGCGAGGGGAAAACTCCCCGTCCGAGTAGAAGCTGTGGCCATAGCCGTACCACTGATCGCGAACACTGCTACCACCAAAGCTGAAGCTACTGCGCGAGCTCTGTGTCCTTCCGTGGTAGCCACGAGGCGATGTGGCAGATGACGAGGGTGGGTATTTGGAGAGTCGGGATGTTTGCCGCTTGGGGCTGGGAATGAAAGCTTCATCGCCCTGAACAGCCTCGTCCGTCAACCCAGGCCGCGAGTTCGGTGCACGAGCAAAGACAGGCGTCTGCGGAATTTCAATGCTCTTCTTCCCGCGTTGGTGAATGTGAATGAGTGTGGCGACTGGCTCTCTCCCGATGCTCGAGGCTGATATTGGTTGTGGTTCTGGTAAATGACCACACTTGGCGGCTTCTTGAGCGAAGCTGTCGATGCGTGCTTGGTCAGGGAGGCAGGCCCCTTCTCAAAGGCGTCTTCATCCTCCTTTCTATACTTCCAAGACTCAATCTCCTCGTCATCGATGGGCGTGATGCCACGGTTGACGAACGGAAGACGACCTTGTCGGTAACGGTAGCACACAAGTATGGTGCCTCCTATCAAAACCACGGCCAGAACAGAAAGGACCGTGCTGAGAGCAATGGCGAGGCGTTCGGTCAGGTTCATCCTGCTTTTGGCCGT